TTAGATATATTTTATAACAAATATTTAAATTGAAGTGATGGACCAAAAAAATTTAAGATTATCCTCTAATCCCCCGTGTATTCCTCTATATTAAGTCACGGGCCGTTTACTTATAACATGCATATTAAACGGGCCCGTGACTTTACTTATAACGCGCTACTTTTCCCGCGTCTTTTCCCCGCCGCTTTTTCTTGGGGATGTTTTAAGTATGACACGGCACGCTATATGTTGCGTGCCGTGCCCCAATTATCCACGAATTTAGTGGATGTCGTTTCATATTGCCTTCCTGAGGACGTTTTTGGTCAGTAATTAAAGAAGGAGTATTGTTAAGTTTATAAAGTTTAATGATTTTAATGATTTTGCTAATCATTTGGTTAGTGATTTAATAATTTAATATTTCAAAATTTTATTTTTGTCAATTTTATAGAAATCCATAAAGAAATTTTTTTTCATTTATATATCTTAAATTTACTTATAATTTCATGTTGTTACCAATTTAATTAATTAATATAGTTACATTACCCCTTTAAACAAAACAGCGAGGGGTCATTTAGGTTTCGAATTTAAAGTACAATAGATATTATCTTTCGCAATCTTTTGTTACAGGGACTATAAAGGAAATTATCAATCAAAATAGTAACATAAATTTAATCATTTAACATTTCATATTTCAATAAATTATAATAATCGGAATTCCTTTAATTCATCACAATCGGAATTATCGCGTTATTTAAAAAAATTATTCCAAATATAGATCACAAGAAGAACGAAGCATGTATTAATTAACCGAATTCAGCAATTCATCTAAATGGATTCGTGTACTTCGAGATTTCATATGGTGTAACATTTATTAAAGTATTCAATAACGAAATGGACCAGTTATAGTATGAATAGTATGAATAAGCATTCAAGATTCATATTTCTAGGCCAAAAATATCATCATTAATTAAACAAAATAATATGAGTCATTCAAATATAGATAATCAATAGGTAAGGTTGTAAGCTTATATCATATGTTTATCTCACAAAAATCAGAATTCAAAAAGTATATATAATCCCAAAAATAGGTTACGGGATCGGGAATTTATTAAACAAGATGGATTTCAAATTTCTGGACCAGTCGTATTTCCTACAGTAAAGAGTATGGATATGCATAATCTTTTATCATTCATACAAAAATTACAATCCGATATACGAGATAGATTATCTAGAATAAAATTTAGACGAAAATACTTTCTTTATTTCGTTCAATTTTTAAAATACAACCCATAAAAATAAATTTTATGAACAAAAAGGAGAAATTAAATTAGCCGAATGCCATCACTATTGTCCAATCATCAATCCATTTGAATGGAAGATCATATTGTATTTGTACTATCTGTCTATCTCACAAAGTTTAAACTTTAATACATTTATGATGAATGTTTATTAAACAAGGTATTTCTTTCAAATGCAACTTTCATTGGTATGAGTCTTTTATTGTTTCGGTTTAAAATTTCAAACCTTTTTAATCAATGAAACTAAAGAACGTCATAAAATTAGTGTTACAAATATCAATAAAATCTTGTCATCTCATCGAGGGTTTAACTTATATATACGAAAATACAAGAAATCCTGAAACAAGGTCGAGGGTAAATTACATCTCAACACTACCAAAATGAATAGAATCAACAAAATGAAGCATGATCGTGGATGATGATATCGATTACATATCAAACAAAGCAACATCTGAACAGAATCAACGAAAATAAAGAAGCAACGCCAAAAAGAATAAGATAGCCATTAACATTTCGCTTCCGAAGAGTCCAGGGTGCCGTTTCTACAAAAAAAAAAGAAAATAAAAGAAGGTTAGTAAACATTCCTGAACTAAACAAAAAAAACGACAAGACATTTACCAGGAATTCATTTCTACTCCGGGGAGTCCAGGGTATCATTCCTACAAAAAAAAAGAACAAAAGAACGTTAGTAAACTTAGTAAACAAAGAAAGCAAAAAAAGAAGTAAAAAGTTCTATTTCGTATTTTCGCTATAAAAAACACCGATAATTAACATTTATCACCTTAAACTTCTTTATTAGTAAGTTAATGAATGAATGGCCTTATGAGTGTGCCACGTAGAATGAATCTAACAGTACTAAATCTTACGGTAAAAAGGTGAACGCCAGAAATCGTATATGGTCTTCTTTGTCATTCCATCTATTCCATATGTACTTTATAATATTCAAGATAACCTGAAGGATTGGTCTTGGAAATAATTATTTATCTTCCCATCTTATCCATATCATTCTCTTTTCTCATTTTTTCTTAGCAATATCAGCAATTATAACGTGTTATATATTATTTCTTGCTCTTCTTCGAACAGATGATTAATTTGAATTCAACATGTTTCCGAAACTCGTATTGACAATTTTCTCTCCTGGTTACTTGTTTTCATTCATTTTAAATAAACCAAAAATGTTTCAAGTCTCTCACCCCTGATTGTTTTCAGAAATCTGTTAATTTATGTTCATGCTTAGAGAAATATTTTGAATTGACTCTACAAATTATAACACGGTGATCATTCAGTCCCGCGGCGTGTTTTTTTAATCATCCGTTTAATTTGTTCATTTGCTTCGCTTCGTGAATAAGGTACAAATGGGTTTGAGATCCTAAACGATCCATGTAAATTTTGCTGTCGTGATCGAAATGTTTTTAGAAGCTAAAGAATTGGAGTAAAATTTCCATGATTGTACATTCGTTCCTAAATTAAAAATTTAATCAACATACGAACTAATTAAATGAATTAATTAAAACTAAAAACTAAATAAATTTAGAATATTCACGATCAAAAAAAAGGTGAATTAAATAAAATTATCGATATAATACCAATCTTTCCATTGATTAGTTGCTCTTTAAGACATCGAGGTTGGTAGTTATGCAGAATTACTGGACCTAGCTTGTTTATTTAAAAAAAAAAAAGAGTTAAAATTGTAAATAAAGCACTATTATTATATTTAGCACTGATTAAATACCTTGTCAAATAAAATTCTATGTACAAAATGTGTGGAAGTATATACAAGGTTTTTGTGTGCTTTGTGCACAAAAATTTTCTTGGCCATGTGCGAAGTTTCGCGCGCGCGCAAATTCCGGACATTGAGTTTCAAGACAATGGTAATTCCTAACAATTAAAAATAAAATAAATAAAAAAATTGGGTTTGACTTCAAAAGATATAATTAATTTACCATTATCATTACCATCAGTATAAAATAATTCTTTCTTGTGACCAATTTTCCTTCTTCAAGTCCCAACTTTATCTTGACTGTTGCTAAATATAAGTAATTCATCAACCATCATGAGCTAGATTCGTTCCCTATGAAACTATCGGCAATCATCCCACTTAAAATTATTTTATCAACATGACGTTTCAATATAGTTTCACAACTAAACAATCAATTAAAATTGACTCTTCCTGAGCAAAATTTGCCTTCTTTTCAATAAATCCTATATATATATATATATATTATACAATGAAATTAACATCCATCTGAAATAAATTCAATTAACTTATAATTCCTCCATGTTCCCGAAAATTATGTGTACAAAATCCTTTCTCTATATCCCATACTTTTACTGTACTATCAAGTACTATTAGCTGATCCTGTTGAATCATCCTATACGAAGTATAAGTTAAATAGTAATGATGATAGAAAATTTGTTGACATAGAATTAGTGAGCTACCTTAAATGATCTCATGCATTTACTGTTTCTATAATTTAATTATACATTTAAACAATTCTCAGACGGCGCGTTAGACGAACACTGAAAACGTTTGATGAAATGTTGAAATGGCATGCTGGATAATGAGATCAACTGGATGTATGCATTAAATCTTCTCATATCTTCAAATTCCAATTATGAACTTTCAAGTTCTTAAAAAAAATTTAGTTCTTTCATCATCATTTTTGTTATTTCTTAATTTCGTCTCATATCCAGCTCTAATTAATAAGCGCTTGTCAAATCACAAAAAATATTTTCTGATTTTTTGGATTTTTTGGAACGAGGTTGAGTAAAAAAAAAATTGTGGAACTTTGAAATAAATAAAATAAAAATAAAATAAAATATTCGCATTTTTATTTGAACTATAAAAAGAAATACAATACACATTGTTTTAATCAATGAAGTCCTATCCAAAGAGATCAAAACTATAACTGGAGTAGTAAATGGTACTTACTACCCTAAAAATTCCTTCCAAATATGTATTAACTGGAAAATAAGAATGTCCATGATATAAATTCGAGAATCAAGATCTGCTCCAATACAATATCGAAATATACCGATAAATGCAATAATACCCGTGAGCACTCGAACATCTCAACTTATTCAACCTGTTCAAAATCCAATCCATCTGTTACAAATTACTCGTCCAGTATTTTAGCATTATTCTCATTATTCTGCACCCGTTCATATATATCGCGTATATATCGCGTGGAGCAAAGAATCAAGAAGTATTCAAGCAGCAGCTCATTAGTATTAAACAACATGAAGAAGGTTCGGTTAAAATAATCTATCTCACCCTCATATGCACCGTTTAGACCAGTTAATCGATCTGCCATTCTTCACAAAGCGCGCCATTGTCTTGTTCTGCGACAAAGTTGATTGCGTATTGTCCTTTTGAAATTCCTGTTCTGGAAACATTACTTTGTAAATAGAATATTGTCCAATTCGAATCTTTTTTTCTGTTGGATTTTCTTTTACACCCATTCGAAGATTCATTTGTTATACCAATTGTTTTTGAATTAATTGTCTAACACCATCCTCGATTATTATTAGTAAATTGTTTACGGCTTGTACAAAAAAAAATCGGTCTTATTTTAATTGAAAAAATTCAAGAAGAAATTTCCAACAATTGACAGATGTATAAAAAGCCTCAAAGGAGATCACCAAGATGTCCCGATCCCGATTTTCAGGTCCTCCTCCTCCTCCTCCTCTTCATTATTATTGTCGCCATCACCACCATCGTTATCAATTATCATTATCATCATCATCACTATCATCACCATCATCATTATTATCCCCATCATAATTATCATTATCGTTATTATTATCAACATCATCATAATTATAATTACCACCATTATTTTCATCAAAATATAAACGCAAGTACCGCAGGACCACAACTTTCCATTGACTTATGGCATAAAAAACAAGTAACGTTATCTGGGGAATTCTTCGACAGACGAATTCGAAGACTTTATTGGAAGTAAAGGCAATCTCTGTCTATAACTTCAAAATCATCGATTATTTGGTACAACATCGTCGCTTCTGAACTGTGAATGAGAAGAAAGTTTTACCGCTGATTTAATCCAATTAGCGATGGTATCTGTAGCCGCGGTGTATGTGATAGCTTCGAGATCAGAAACAGTACATGTTTATTCTTAGGATCATCCCTCCAAGTTTGGGTTCTATTTAATAAGCACTGTAACGCATTATATGGACATATTAAAGAATCTTCTTCATATCGTCCCACGTAAAGCTTTTTTGCTGAAGATTTAGATGTATTCAATGAATGTGATTTAGCTGATTTGTGTTCCTTCGGATCTCTACATTCTAAAGTGTATCCTGAGCTAGATGACTTAATTGTTGTAATATTCACCTTCTTTAAGTCTCCTTGCTGTAACTAGGGCTAACAGGAAGGCTGTTTTGATTATCAGGTTTCTAATGGACATTTTGTTGTTAGTTCCCAATTATTTAATATAATCAAGTGGAGGTGTTATATTTGTAGGGTCATCAGAGCGAATTGGTGGATTATCGATGTGAATAGATAACACCGTTTTTGCGACATCCATACCCGTCTACATGTTCGTGGATTTCACTAACTGCGGTACGGTAACCCGCGATTGTGTTATAGGCAAATCCTTCCGCATACGTATTTTATAAGCGCAAGTAGTGGGATCCAATGATCGTTCAGCATACCAATATATCCATGTCTGTAGACGATGAAGGTTGATAGTTTTCTGAAAAGCCTTTATTTTGGTACCGTGTCCTGAGATAATACACGTGAGAATTTTCCACTTCGGATTTCGTAGTTGTGTCTCCTCTCTATTCATTAACTGACTTAATATAATAAATATAAAATAATTTTTCTTCATCATTTTAACTTTAAAGAAAAAGAAGGTTAAAAAATCTTTGAAAAAAAGAAACGTACCTACTTTTAATTGAATTAGGAATATGGTCTTAAGCGGAGAACAATATGGTAGTTGCTCCAACAGGTGTTGCTGCTTTTAACATTGAAGGCAGCACTATACGTTCGTCACTTTTTGTTTCAATATGCGGGTAAACGTTGAGCTTGAAGGTGAATCTTTAAGAAACTCAAAGAAAACTAAATATATAGAATATTTAATAATCGATGAAATGAGTATGGTAGGACGCCGTTTTCTTGCTATAATTGATTTACGACTGCGGCAAGCATTCTGGATCACTACAATATTTCCTTTGGTGGCCGATCCATAATTCTTGTTGGTGTGGGAAGCTTCCTCCGGTATGTGGTGTTCCAATGTATTCTCAGGACTCTCGAAAATCAGATCATTTATCTGAGGATGGTCGTAGTGCCTATAGTCAATTTCAAGAAATTTATAAACTTGAGGCTATGCAAAGACAACTCACAACAATTCAGAAATCTGTCATACACCTCTTTACCTGCAGTTATTTTAGTTTTATTTGACAGTATAACGGTCCAACTCTTAGGAATATAGAAGGACTCCACTACATGCATTACATCGTCCCGAGGAGGCCGGTCCTTTGCAAGATTATCATCATTGATTACGTCATTGTATTTTGATTGCTTAATAGTATAATTCATACCATCAGTTTTTGGCCAACTGAAGGCTTAATAAGAGCTTTTCGAAAAGAATATAGCTTTCATTATCTTCTAGTTAACATTAGCCAATCCACCTCCTTACTATACACAAAAAGCCAAGGGTTTGACCAATTCGTCAAGTTCACGGCCGACTCTGTATTTAGTTCCTTACTAATCCTGAACAACAATAAGTAAACCAAACGTTTACTTTTTAAGTCGATCAAATAAATTTGTTGTATCTCATTGACATCATCGTTCAAATCCGACATAATTCCGCGAGCGAAGATTTTGGCTTTTGCAGTTTGAGCTGCGCTAAGATTAGCCTTCAGATGAACATTTTGATCACGTAATTATTAGACGTAATGTGCAGTCGCAATAGTGTATGATTCCATTCTCTTTAACTCTTTATCAGCTATATAGGACATTGCATCGGCAGCTTTATCGTTGAACGGTAATCGACGTATTTTTTTTGTTATTTTGATAATGTGCTCCAATCTTTTTTGTTAAGCTCAACTATTGAGTATTTGCAATATCCATATCCATTTCTAGGACAGCCAGAAATTAAATGATGTAACCATTCATTCTTTTTGCTCTTAAATTTGAAACCTTTATCTCGGTTGCTAAGCCATCTTTCCAAATCTTCCAAGAGTTTCTGAACACGATTGTACGGTTTTAGATGATGCGAGTGAAACAATTGCAGAAATTGCATCAAAAGTCTCTTTCAGAGGCGCTATATACCGCTTTTTTTGTCCACGTTTCGTTTGCTCGGGAGTTCAAGTACAAAATCGGCATCAACATAAATCTTTGGTTTTATGTTGTGTAGAAGTAAAGATCTTAAAGCAGAGGATTCTTGGGAAGTAGAAGTTTTGATCTCCGTCTGATTACTAAAATTAAGATTATCAAGCCGGATTAGCACGTGTATATGGTGTAACACAAGTAATCAAGTCCGATGAAACATTCGCTAACGTTTCATATTTTTCTTTCCTTTAGACGGTTAATTTTCGCGTAGGGTTTCGTAGGAATTTGGTAGGGATTTTCTTATTTTTTTTTTTCAAAACCATTCTTTTAAAATGTTTATTAACGTTTCTTTCTTTTTTCTTTTAGACGGATTTTCTTTAGGTTAGTTTGGACGCGTATTTTTTTTCGTTTTCTTTAATTTAATTATTTTAACGACGAATACTTACAGTTCGCTTTTTAGGCGGCTTATTCATTTATTCAGTTCATTTAGCAGGATCGTTGAACTTAATTGACTCACCATAATCCGTCATTCCTTCAATCTTCAATCTGAACTCACTCCAACTTCTCTTTTTGACAAGACTTATTATCAAATTATTTATCATTGTGGCGGAAACCTTTGCCGACATTATAAGAGTTCAGCTGATAAATTGGCCAAAGCGTATCTTACCACTACGATGTCTCTAGTTAGGACCAAGATTAATGAATTCCCTTAATTATTCTTGTAGTTGGAGAAGCCACACTGCGCAAAGATTCCAAAATTTTCTTGGCTGGTTTCGGCATTGTGTACTGTAAGTTTAGTGTAACTCCACTTTTTAATTTTATTTTTAGGACTTTTGGCGTATTGGGTGAATGGGAAAAGTGAAAATGGTTGTAGATTCTAACTTCGGTCGAGGCTTTGGATTTGATGGTAAGTTTCGAAATTAACTTCGATATTTATTTATCTTATTTTTATTTTTATTTTTATTTTTATTAATTTTTTCTATTTGTTCATATAGGTTCTGGAGAGTTTCGCATTGGGAGTTTGAGTTTTTTCGTTGCGAAACTTAAATTTATTGATTTTTTTTAGGGAACGTTTGTTACCGTTTCCTTTTTTTCTTTTTTGTAGGCTTCGGTTTGTACTGTAGGTTCAGGTCTTTAGAGTTTTGAGAATTGAAAAGGGTAAATCTCGTAACTTTCGCTACGAAACTTTCAATTTTTTATTATCAGAAACGTTCTACTAACGTTTCTTTCTTTCTTATAGGTTTAGGGCTTTAAGATCGGGTTGTAACTGATTTAGAAGAGCAATGGTAATTATATATTATGGGATGATTAAACTACATACTGTAATTTTATATATCATGTATTATTTATATACATTATACGCATTATGTAATTATAATATTATATACACTATATATACATTTTAAAACTGCCGTTTTATTGTATGTTGATTTACACATAAAACACCGTTGTACTGCGCGTTTTTAAACGTTTTTAAGTGGCGTTGAGATACAAAGGGTTCGTTTCCTTACGTTTTTTGGTGTTGAGCAATACATGGCGTTTTTCAACACCATCAAAAACTTCCTGATGATAACAACTAATGAGCCTTTCATATGAGAATTTTATTTTTTAAAAAAAATATAGTTATAGGGGTGCAGACATTTGTTAGTAACGTACAGTATCTTCAAGTTGTGTTGCGTTAAGTCATTGACGGAAACTCAAAAATTATTATTTAGTTTTATGTACTAAAAAAATAAATTCCATTTTCCTTTATTGCACTTACTACTCTTTTAATTAAACAGTAACATTATTGACTAATTTAAATCCATTATCCATATTATTATCATTTGTTTCTAATGAGTAGCCTTACTAGCCTATCGTTATGGTAGTACGTAAAAGAAGTTTAACCAAAAAATTTAAAAAATTTGATACGAAGTCAAATGTCCATCCCAGGCTTCAAATTGGCTAGAAGAGATGCAATGAACAAAATGAAACTACATGTAAGGAATTATATTTATATTTTAGTGGATCATATAAAAGGATGACAAATTTAAAAATGATCCAAGAAATGAATCATGATTCACAATTAATATTAGTATTATCTTTATCCAATGAGATTCTGTAATTGATGCACTGAATTTTGATCGTATAAACTGAAATGTTAATGACCAGAGAGATAAGGATCAGACTACAAAAATGTTAGAATTACTAGATCTTATTCAAATTAACAACCATGTATCCATGGATAATAAGTTTTTTCCATTTTATGCCATTTTATGCAAAATCTTTCAACAAGGTTCCATTTCTTTAAAAACTCATTGAATAACAACTACAGTATATAGCAAATGATTTTGCTAAATCTGTAAAAGCAATAATTCATAATTTACAAGTCCGATTTCCGCCACACCGTAATATATATCTCAAAGGAATTTATCATTAACTTGTTTATATAATTAAAAAAAAATTTTTTACTTTATTTATTAAACATCTTCGAACGTCCTCCAGCGATATACACCTGTAAACACAAATGTATATAATAATGTACCTATTCTAAATTAGTATGCAAAAGTGAATTAGTTTCATATGGATGAAATTTTAAACAAATATTTTGAGGATAAAAATAAATCAGATGGTACAGTTTGGGGAATAATCAAACATGCAATGAGAATATGATATGAATAATGGGTGGTATCATATTTGGAATTCTCGTTTTCAATTATTAATTAATATCCAAATATTAACATTAGTAATAATATTACGTTACCGGTTCCCTTTACAATTGCTAGTGTTAAAAGAATATTCTTTCAACACAAATTAACAAAACCAGATTACGTAATAGAATGAATGTTGAAATACATAATATGCATTTAATGATGTCTGATAATATTGAAGAGTTTGGAATAAAGCGTTCGATCAATAGGAAATTAAACATGTACAACGTATTAATAGTAATATAAGCAAATCTTAGAATTATTTTAATTTTATTTTATCGCGTCAATCGTACAAAAATCGTCCAATTAGAAATTGTGCGCAAACTAAAATTTCAAACACAGATTAAAGTTATTGTTTGTGTGACCTTTCCATAGCACAAATAAAACCCGTGATATAATTGACTTCTAGAATATTCGAAAGGTAATTAATATCAGATATATTAAAATATTTACTGTATAAACCAATTAATTAAATATGTAAATATATTTGAAATATGCAAAGAAATATGTCGCATGATCTTATAGTGAATTATACGAGTAAAATATACGAGATTTGATTCTAAAATGAAAAAAAAGTTGCATTTTCGGAGCCACCAAATGAATATTTGTGTTTCAAAATTTCTTTATCTGACATCTTTAAATAATTTTTAAAAAAATAACTCAAATGAATGTGCGAATAATTTGGTAAATTATTTCAAAAAAAAGAGGAGTTTTTCTCAAAAAAAGTAATTTTTTTACTTCATTATTTTTCTTACTTTTACAATTAATTTACCGAATTATAGTTATAATAGCATTAAACGTGGAATTAGTGTGACGTCAGCTTGAAAATTCGAAATTTAACATGATTTAGACCAAAATGTATGTATTTTATTTTATTTAATTATTATTAAACGTACGAATTTTGATTTTCTTTTGAACACTATTAAACTACAGGCGCTACTTTATTTTTTTTATCGGAATCGTAATTATCCCCTCATCTTTATACTTAGCCACCAACTCATCGTGTTTATTTGTCCATGTACTACCTATCTCCCAATAACCCTCAAATTTAATTGGAAATCTTTTTTGGCATTTCCAACTTTCAAAAAATGATTCTAGCCCTTCTAATGTGAAATTCCATTTGTATCCAAATGAAAATTTTCTTATAGTTTTAGGAGATACATTACTTATAATCCTTAATAATTCGTCTCCATTAGGATCTACGACTTTGCGGATAGAAACAACATCAACTTTGGGATCATATACATCCGCTGTAAAGTTTATTTTTTCTAATTGTTTACAATTACAAAAAATTCTGTAAATTTCTATCAAATTTGTAGGGTCAATATTTATAGTTAACTTTTTTAGATATGGACATTTTTTCGATATTGCCACAATCAGTTGATTATTTTGGTCCGGATAATCTTCAAACTCATTATGTGGAAAGCGTATTTCAATTTGTAAAATGTTCGTACCGGATTTTTCAATTATTAACCTTTCAATACCACTTGGCAAAAACGAAGTTACAAGGTATTGAAGATCCGGAAAAGAAGCTTTATCCAAACAGCTTTCCCAATACTTCCAGTTTACGTTATAATTACCAAAATCATTATTTAGCTCCAATGATTGTAGCTTCACTGAACTTGTAAGAAATCTTGGATCTATGAGGGTAGCATATGATACCAATATAATTTTTTTTAACTTGGCAGCCTTATTTGCTACCACGTCACTTAATAGTGGGTATAGTTCTTCCTCCTTCTCCTCGTCATTATTATTGTCGCCATCACCACCATCGTTATCACTACCATCATCACCATCATCACCATCATCATTATTATAACCATCATAATTATTGTCATCATAATTATTATCACCATCATAATTATCATCATCGTCATTATCATCATCATCGTCATTATTATCATCATCGTCATTATTATCATCATCGTCATTATTATTATTATCATCATCATCATCATCATCAACAAAATGTAAACTCAAGGACTGCAGTTTATTTTGCACCTCGATAAATAAAGCTAAATCTAGAGATTCTTCACGAATATAGTCTATATCCAATTCTTCGATACATTTGCAAATCTTGGTTAGTTCGCATAATATATTTAAAATTATATTATTCTCACCTTTCTCAAAACTAAGTTTAAGGTTGTTCAAATTTGAAAAAAAATTCTTAGCATTTGGGTAAGAACATATTTCTCTAGTAGTATGAAAGCAGAATTGGTTTACATTTTTACATTTATCAAAAATTAATTTATAAATTTCTTCTTCTAGTATATTTTGTTTGTCCTCTTCATTGATTAAAAAGTTTACCATATCACCAACCATAAATGACGACATACGAGTAAAATAAAGCATGTATTCAAACGTTGGTTCCTTTGGAAGTTTATTCAAAGGTAATATAATATTATTTTTGGACAAAGGGCTTTCTGGATTATTAGGCAAAAAATGGGCGATAGTATTATAGAATTTTTCACGTGTTTCTTGATTTTTAAATTTAGGACCAAATAAAAAATATTTCCACAAGACACACATCGCTAACTGGCACCAGAATTTATCTACCAGAATACACGAACGTAAAGATGCGATGTCGTCTTTTAATTCAGAAAAAATTATAAGGAGAATGTCCGCGGAAAGATGATTCATGTTGTGAAGGATAAATATTGTATGTATGGATTGTAATATAACAAAAAAAAATAGTAATATGTATGTAATGGAGAAAATTGAAAAAAATAATGAAGGTCAAAAATTAAATGAATACGATCCATTTTTATACAAAAAAAAACGATTTTTATCAGCTAAGACATTAATAGAAGTCTTTGTTTAATTAAAGTATTACCATATATCTGATATCTTTAATTTATAATGTCTAACATATACTGTATAATAGGGGCTCACAATTTGAGCATTGTCAATACTTGAAAAAAGAGAAAAAAGATTAGTCATTTTCTATGAACACAAAGACGATTGTTTATTTCCCATTTAAAGATTTATTGAAAGTACTTAATTTTCTTTTAAATCCGATCACATGACTGTCGGCCGTTAATTTGTGAGTTCATTTGTATCAAATCACAATTTAATATTTTTATTAATTTTATGATTAAAATTATCGTGAAAAATCCAAGATTTCCCAGCCATATTGTCATACATATAGGATATATCAATTTTTATCAGTTTCAAATTAGGGAATAATACCAATATTTTTTCAAACAAATTTTCAATTTGAAACTTGACGCGTTGAATTATTTAAAATTTACAAAACTTTCCTAACCTTCAGTCCCTTTTAAAGAAATGAAACTTTTCACATTTTCAAAATACGAGATATATAAATTTGTAATGACATTGTTAAATAAGGAAATGTAAAATATCCGAGTAATCCGATTCAAAAATATTGATTTTCATCATTGTTTCCGGTTTTAGACTGAACAAATACTTATGTTACAAATAAATGATTATTATGTCACAAAATTTCATGTTTCATTGTATTATAAGTGATAATATTATTTTTTGGTGTGACAAGCATTATAGAACAGAATAATATGTTTAAAAATGCATTACAGATTGTTATTAATGGTTTCGAGTTACATACAATCATAAAACGTGGTAATGTGGTTCAATAACAAAAATTTTTATTTTTTACAAGTAGTAAAGTATAATGTATATAGTTCATGATATATTAAGCTAACAATAGGTTTCAGTAGCACAAAGTTTCATGTCTATATGCTGTCAATTTCTTTTACAAATATAGATGCAAGGTCAAGCGAATAAAATTATAAGTTATTAATGATTGAGCGGTCATGCGAATTTCTCCTAGATATGTGATACCGGCTGTGGTAGATGTAAATTATTTTAACTAAATACTTCAAATACTGCGGTAAAAATTTCCTAAAAATATTAATGTTTAGACTCTATAAAGAAATTTTTTTCTTGATAATTGAAGAACTATACAAGATGATTCATATACAGTATATCTAATTGCTAATAAAATTTGGTGCGAACTATGATTCTAACGTGTTGACGCTATAATAAATAATAATAGTAAGTTATTACCATGATAAATCATTTGTTTGATCGTTACAAATTCAATCAGATTGGATTTAGATTGAATTGCCGATCCATCCGGCCAATCTGGTTGATCAACTCAAATTGATTTTGTAATTTGTTGCATTGAGGCGTCGATTCAAATGAATTTGTAAACGCACCCAGTATTTAGATATGAGATGAATTTGATGATTTTAAATATCGATTATAACTTTAATAATTTATCACTTCTTTTTTTATAAACATGTTTATCCATATTTATCAAATATTCATTATTAAGATTTTATTTTCCAATTAATTAGTAACAATATATCAATTTTCATAATTTTTTCTATTAGGAATTTTCAAATTATATCCTAGCCAATCCTAGTTGTGATTGCTTCAAGATCCAACTATAGAAGCTGATAAAAACTGATCCAGAGTTGAAAGGATCATTTGAAAAATATAACACTAACCGTTGAATTTATTTGAGTTCGTTAATGTAAGTTTGAATATAAAGTGTCTTAAGATAATAAGAAATTCATGCCTAAAACAACCTAGTTTTAAAAACAAGGAAAATGTCGAATACTAACTTCTATCATCCCAATAACGGATTCTAACCATTCATTCTTAATTTGGGCCAATCAGTTTTTCGCTTCAAAAATATTGATAAAGAACTAAAGACATATTATAAATATTATTGAGAAATTTCAATTTGTTTGATGAAGGGATCCTTAGAATAATAACTGCAATAATATGTTAACAAATTCACTCAAAAAAGAAAACTGATTGGCCCGATTTTGGCCACCAGTTTTTCCTTATATTGTCCTCTTACTCTTGAATCAATCCTGCTACACGACTGCCTCACTGACTGCCTCCAGCACAAGACAGAATGGTTTATGCCAAATAGTCTATAATAAAATAATTAATTTATATAATAAAAATTTCTCACATCTATCTCTTTCAATATACGTGCTTTGAATGCTGCTAACAAACTCGACAACATACTTGAGAAATCGTCTTCATTTAACGATACTCCAATGTAGGCATGTTAATTGTAACGAGCAAGATACTAAAGCAAACAAGACACTTGAAAAGAAATGTGATTAGAAATTTTAATTAAAATAAAATAAAATAATTTATATACAAAGAATACTAAAACAAACGTTGCAGTATATTGAAAAATTAGATCATTTTTAATAAGTCAACTCACCATGCTATAACATTTTTCTACTATATAAATAATCTGAGCCATCATTTTCAGGTGCTCTTTTATGATCATAATTCATAATAAGGTTCTAAGGTCTATTCTAGTAATTAATTAGTCACTTGGGGGATTTATTTTTATCGACCAGTGTGGGAGTATTTACCATTACCAACCAGGGGCTGGCGGTTTTAGTTTATTACGGTTAATCTACGGGTACGGACTTCACCTCACCTGGGTTTTTGGACTTGGCGTGTTAGAGGTAGTGGTCTTCTTATGGTTTTTGTGCTGTGGTATTCTCACAATAAGCCTTCTTCCCAGATGTATCCACCGGTTTGAGTAGATTATTTTAGAAATAGTAGTTTAGTGTTCAATTTTGATCTTGTATTAATATTTTGCTTAAATTCGAGTCATGTTAGGTTCCTAACTGACACCTATTAATAAAAATAAAGATCTACTCTAGTAATTAAAAAATTTATTTCAAAATATTCTTTATTCCTTACAATTGAATTAACCATACATTATTTTACTATGAGTATTCTCGTAGCATTTGAAATTACTCCTTCTTAAAATCCCCCCCTCTAAAGATACCTTATGTGAATTTCTGGAATTAATGTATATTTAATCCATCAGATTCCTATGGATAAGATTAAACGGATGGAGAATACTATCCAAAAATAATTACTTCCTTCACAACTGTTCTTTCTTATCATCATTTACTGTCGAGTATGCCTAACAAATCTATCTTCCTCATTATATATGAGATCATTTTCCTTCAATTCGTGTCCAAATTCTTCTGTGGCCCTGATTCTTTTCTTGATTAATTATTCACATTTTTTTTAGCATCCGCTTTGTATGTATCTGTTGCTAATATGTTAGGTCCTAGATTCCATCAGTCTTTCATGTTCAATACCTATTAAGTTCTCACATGATTGCGTTGTTGATCGATTTATCAAGCGCAAAGACAGGATTATTGATTAACTTTTCACCGCTTTCAATTTATTTTTAATCTCCTCTACTTTCTTTTGAGTCACTTCCTTTACTGCATCTCATATTATGAATACTGTGAATAAAAAAATTTTTCAATTACTATACTTCAAATCTTCACATAACATACAACCTTTTTTTTTAAAAACAATTCCCAAATAGCTTTTAACATTTTTAACTTCTGAATTTCGGTGGACACATAATCTCTAAAGTATTTGTTATCGTCATATTTCTTTACCATTGCTCTTCTATTCCCCCTTTTCCTCTGCGTAATAAAATAAGGCAAGTATGATTAAACAATTCTCAACAAATTATAGAACAAATACAACATAGCGATACAAAACTCTAGCTTCAGATAATAATACCTTTTTGCCCTTACGAGAAATTGTAATATGAGATTATCAGTTTGAGATTGAGTGATACAAATATTTTTACGTTACTTTGCAAATATCTACACCAAATGCGATAAAATTTGAGTACACGTGCCCATCTGGTAATTTTCAACAGTTGAGTGCGGTGATCTTGTAATTAAGTGTTCATCAGAAATTAGACCGTTGGCGGTGTTTATATAACTAATCCTGGTTAGAAGTTGCAGCAACTTGGAATCTTTAGAGACATATACTGTAACCGTTATATGAAAATTTTTTTGATATTAAATAATCAAAAAAAAATTCGCAATACTATATCAGATATTGTGTAACATACAAAGTATAAAATCTTGTTTGTGTTTTTTGTTGATCTTTTAAAAAACATTACTGTTTATATATTTTCTTGCCGTAACATTATTAATGCTTTTTTACATAATGTCTTTATTAAATGTTACATTCATTGGTCTAATTTCTTTCAAGTTCAGTGAAGCTACAATCATTGAAACTAAATATTGTAATGAAATATTCATAGTTGATTCCTTTCTATGAAGTGTTATATCATCCAAATATATCCCACTATTATTCTCATGTTCTTAATATGTTGTCAAGTAATTTCATTATTTGCTTATCATGAATAACATTTAATAATTATTAATTATTAAGCAAAAGGTTTTGTGAAGGAGCTTGATAAAATATGTAATAACTAATATTAAACAAGATGATCATAAACTGTTAAAACAAAAAATTATAAATACCGTTTTTGTTATTTAATTACACTTGGTATTGTAAAATGCAGTTCCAAGGTATTGAAGACCCTCAAAGAGGTATTTAGTATATTATAACAATTTGTTTCAATGTAATAGCTTGCATTTTAGATGCGTAATTTTTCTCAAATAAATATTCTTATAATTCGATCTGCAGGATTAGAGAATCAACAAAAACTTTAATCAACAATCAGAGACAAGGTTATAGCCATATGTTCTTCTAAAATCAATAATCATACACCTTGATCAGGTCAATTATGGGGTGTGATTTTATGATTATATATGTATGTATGATTTTTTTCATTAGTACATACGTACGACTCTTCTATGTCAAGATTAATAATCAAGTATTTAAATTGTCGTTACAAAATTGAACAAAAAATTGGAGATTTAAGAGGTTAAATACAAATTCCATAATTAGCGTTATTTTTTTAAAAAATATCTCGTTTTTTTGCTAATTTGATAGCTTTATTTATGACAAGTAATCAGATTATTTAAATTTCATTTGTTGTCTTAGTTATTCTAAATAAAAAATCAGATGATAGTAATTGGATACTTAGACCAATTTGATGGAAAATCAAAACCAAGTGTATGAAATCAAAATAATTTGTATTTATTTTTAATATATATGTATTCTAGTAGATAGATTCTGGTGCCGGATAGCAATGTCAACAAATAACTTAAAGAATTCTTCTTTCTTGTTTATATTATTAATTTTTACTTTTTTGTGAATTATGATTCAGAATTTTGTTATAGTTTGAATTGAATTATAGAGTTGAATAAGTTGCTCGGTCATGTTACGATTGCTCAAGGTGGAGTTTTACCGAACATTCATAAAAATCTTTTGCCCAAGAAGTCAAAGAAAGGTGCAGTTTGGATTGAATTATCGAGTTGAATAAGTTGCTCGGTCATGTTACGATTGCTCAAGGTGGAGTTTTACCGAACATTCATCAAAATCTTTTGCCCAAGAAGTCAAAGAAAGATGTAATAGTACGATTATTAGATTATGTAATACTACTTTTGTTCACGTTTCGTTTTCTTGGAGTTAAAGTGACTTTGATTCTTTTTCTCAAAATCAACCATCATCATCAATCTTTGTTTGAGAGCTTTTCAGTTATTGCCTTTGATGTTACTTCTGTAGTTTTTCTCGAATGCCCAGGAGTAGTAACTTGTTTGTATTCTTTCCTTAGTTGTTAACATTGGTTCGTTTTCAAATTTGGTGTTTTTTTTTTTCGATCAAGCCGTAATGATTGAGAGCGATATAGAGTAGATTTTGAAGCAGAGGTTTCTTGTAAGTAGAAGCTTTGGGGGTATTGTAATCAGCAAATCCATAGGTCTTTGATTCCACAGGCCGTTTGTCTTCCTTCATCTGAATCCCGACTGGATTAGAATCAATTATTATAATTAAGAATTCTTTATTGTAATATATAATTAATAAACATTCAAAAACTTATTTATAACTTACGTACATATTGTACATAATTTTCTTAAATCTTTAAATAATCAGAAATTAAAAATATGATTTTACGTTCTGAAAACATTTTTTATATGATCCTATTTTCTTACATTGAAGTATGAAAAACTTCATAAAAATGTTTTCGCATACATTCACTTTAAAGCCTGATTCCCAGCTACAAAGTTACGGTACGAAACCTATATATTAAAAAAATAGCTACAGTATATATAATTTTATTCATTAGACTTTAACATTTATAATTTTAAAATTGTAAACATACTGTGCTCTATTTTTCGATTCAGTTATTGAAAAACTTCTCAGTTCTCACTCAAATGACATCTTCACTAGTAAACAACTTCGAATCTTGTGTAACAAAAACAGGTGTGTTCACGTGTAACTTCACGTGTACCCCAGAAAAAAAAATTTCTTCAAAAGTCAAAACGCGCGTTTACTCTCGTAAAATTGCCGTGAAAATAACCTAAATTTCAATGTTATACGAAGAAAATATAGGTATTTTCATGTTTTAATATTTTTAATACATTTTTATACGCGTTTTTATACCTAACTTTTAACTTTATTTTATTAAATTGTATTTGACATTGATAATATCAATATTTCAATTTGTAACTTATATAATTAATAAAATTCTTTTCTTTATTTATATAAAAGCATTATCAATATAAGCTACTGGTCTCCATTTTTTAATTTTATTGACTCTGCTGACGTATGTTTCTTTTTAATTGTTCTTTTTTTCGTGGTGGTATGGTTTGTGGATCTATATTTTCCATATTTTCAAAAGATCTTTTTGATTTTTTACCTTGATTTAATCTTTTACTACCATTATTATTACTTTTTCTTCTTTGTATGGACGTTACCTGCACTTTTATTTGTTTATTATTTCTAACTTCCAATTCTTCTTATAATATTTTCTTGTTATTTAATTATTTTGTAAAAATAATTAAATATTTGTATATCTAGCTTTTTGATATGCTATTTAACCCATAATGAAAGTTTGGATCTCCATTTTTAATATCTGTATCAACTTTATTAACTTCTTTTGATAAATCAAAATCTAACGCATCATCATGAATTTCTTCATCATCAGATTTTATAATATTGTCAACTGAAGATTCATTAGCATTAATATGCTTATTCTGATTTACTAATTGAAAACTTTTATCTACAATATTGTTATCAGGTATAGAAGTAATAGGAAGTAAATTTGTATTCAAGAAAGATAATGCAGTTTTATCTTCTTCCATAAAGGTTTTTAAAAGCCTTTATTTTTTTGATAATTGATACATTATAATTTAATATAATCCCATTTTTATCAAAAAATATGATAATTTTTTTTATTTTAAACTTTGATTTTTTCTTGACTATCATTGATTTGCAATATATATTTAATGAGAATAAATAGCTAAATAAAAAAAAACTTATAATCATAAGCTTAAAAATTCTTTTTTAATGAAATAATTATATCAGTAATGTTTATAATATTATATAAGAAAGAAACTTGTCATAACCATCCAATCTAACCACTATACTATTTAATTTTTTTTTAATAATTACCTATATTATATCTTATATTTATTCTTGAGCTGCAAAAAAAAATTTATTATATAATCAGTTTAAATCAGAAGGCTTTGATTTTAAGTAATTGAATTATGAGTATGTAAAGATTATATATTATATAATCACCCTGAAGCCCATATGAAAATTAGTTTGGTGATTTTCTTATGCTAATACAATTTATATCATAAAGATAATATAAACAAATTATCTGTAAATTTATAATTAATAATTCATAATTATGTAGTTGAAAAATCCATTTTTTGAAAAATATGCTTCCTTTTTTTATTTTTTTATTTATGTAAAACCTTAGATAATTAGTTTATTATTCAAAAGGTATAAAAATTATTTTTAATTTTGATTTATTTTTAGTAAATATTTTACTGTATATTATCAGTCTTTTCAAAAAGAAAAAAAATTTATTGTTTTATTTTAAAATATCAATTTTCATTCTATAAATATTTTATTTTGACTCTGAATTAACTCAAAAAATTAATGCAATTTGAATAACTGATAGGTTGAAAATACAGGCATATTACTTATTATACAACATCTTTATTTTTATATTATAGTTCTTTAAAATGGTTTGATTAATCTCAACCAGTTTATTATTTATTGATTTATAGTTGAATTTAATTAAAAACCTAGATTTCTCAATTATTTACTTTATTCTTTAATCTATATTGTAATACAAAAAGATTGCAAAGTTGGGTCCCGTGATCACCAGACATTGAAGATAGGGCCTTTATGGCTAAGATGACCTGTTACTAAATGAAGTCTATCTACAGAGTCAAACGATCACTCGACAGTACACACGTGAGGTACTACCGGTATGACAAGTGGTTTGTAGTTTAATTATATTAGAGTAGTTATTAGGAAATTTTACTTTGTATATATCTTTTTATTTTTTTACTTTAATAAAACTGCAAATGCGCTGCAGAAAAAAAAAAAAAAAAAAAAAAAGATTGCAAAGTAAAATTAGAAAGAAAAATTATTTTACAAATCATAACTAAGAATTCTTAAATTGTTGCCTTATTAAAGACTTTTCTGCTTCTAAGAAAAATAAAAAACTGACTATGTAATAATATCAGTATATAAATATCAATAAAAAAATTCTAAATTATTTAAAAAAATTTAAATTTTACAACTTATGGACTTTTTAACTAAATGAATCCAGATAATTTTATTTTTCCTGATTGCAAAATAAATATTCAGCTATTATAAAAATATTTGAAAATTCAGATAAATTTAAATCTAATATTATAGTAATAGTACAAGAATATTCTGTTTTATTCAGATCAAAATACTATAATAATTACTGAATATTTTTGAAATCAAAGTAATAATGGATTTAATAATTAAATATGTAGTTTTGTCAATTATCTTTTACTATAATTTATTAGATTTATTAATAAATATTCAAATTTCTGTTGATATTTAAATATTAGTATGATTATTTAAAATATATTTCTAAAGAATAAAAATATGTTTTAAAATAAACTATTTAGTAAAATAGCTTAAAAATTATTTTTTTATCATATTCTCCTTCTATCTCTAAGTAATATATAATTGTTATTAACTTTAGCTAAATTACAATTATAAAACTAATTCTGACCATTATTAATAAAATATTATATGAAAAGTAAAATATTTGAGAACTTTTATCTAGTGATATTAATGGTTCAATTTGGTCTAACTTAAGGATAAAGTCAAGTTCAAATGAAATTAATCTTATTAGTTTCATTAAACCCATTAATTTAGCCTTATTAATTCTATTAATTCCATTAACTTTATTAATTTATTAAATTAAATTAAACTGAATTATAATTTAAAGACCTTTAAGTTGAATTAGACTGAAATTACTAAACCCCATCAGTTTATTAGTTTAATTTAATTTAACTTGAATTTAATAATACTACTTTTCTAATAATTACATAATATATATAATACTATAACTTTTCTACTTATTATAATAATTTTTTTTAAATATAAAAACAAAGGTTTTGTTTTATTTTTTTATTTTTTTTTTTAAAAAAAAAAATGTAATTAATTTTACTTTTACTTAGTATTTTTTATAAGTATAAAACTAAATTGAACCTAAAGTGATTTATTTAACCTATTAGTAAATTTTATATAATTATATAATTTTACCCAAATTTTCAAAATTATAATTACAATAAAAATCTACAGTTTATAAAAACGTAGTCTGTATCACGTGATGTTACATAAATCCTAAAAAGGAAATTTTATTTCCCATAAAAAATGGGAAAGGGGATGGCCAGAAATGACGTCATTTGTTAAGATTATAATTATGTTACACACCTTCCACTTTTAGACACTTGTAGTTAATATAATTCTAGTCAGAATTGTGTTTTAATTTTACATTTTTTAAAATGAATGATGATATAGGAAGAGGGTCAAAAATCCTAAAATTTAAATTACGTCATTTCTGGCTATTCCCAAATTGGTTATACTATGTAATACAAATTTCCTAAAAAGAATATTTTGCATTGATCTCATAATTCCGCCTGAAATTATCTCATTTTCTGTAAAATACATTTTGCGATAATATGATGATATACATTTGTAAATTATTATTTTTTTTTAGACACGTATTTTTCTTTTTAGGTTCCATTATTTTTTCTCTTTTTTTTTGAAATGTTATTAATGCTACTCTTTTTTTAATATAAACAACTAAAAATAACTTTTTACTACTAAGATATCTTTTGCTTTGTTTTTTGTTGTTTATTTACTACTTTTTTGAAATGATATTACTGATACTTTCTTTCTTTTTCTTTACTTTTTTATGAACTATTATTACATTATTATTACAGTTTACCCTTCCTATAGCGAATTTTTATATAACAAATCATGTGACGCTTAGCCAATAAAATATGTCAATTTTCTCTCGTTATAACAAAGTAACCAATCAAATTCTTCAAATTCTTCGTTAACTTGCTATAACGAATTTGAGGTGCAGAACGGTTTCTTCGCTATATCAAGGGTAGACTGTACTAGTTTTTTTTCCCTTTTCTTGATGTTTTTCTTTATTTTTGTGGTATTTCCCATGGTATTTTTGTTTTATTTTTGGGTATTTGTTTCATTTTCATAGTGTATTTATAGAGTATTTAACTTATTTTCGTGACGTATTTATGATGTATTTAACTTATTTTGTGGTGTATTCGTAACTTATTTTGTGGTGTATTTGTGATCTATTTAACTTATTTTATCATCAGGAAATTTGTTTAGACGTAATTTAGTGTAATATTTCGAAGGTGGTGTAAAATTTCGAAATATTACACTAAAAACGTAATATTACAAAAGTTTACGCTCTTAAATTTGAATAATTATAGTAATTTAAGAATATCTCGCTATCTACTGATCCAATCAAGACGATCTATAGCTCATTGGAATCAGCTCATCAAGACGGATCGAATGGTAGTAAAGTCGCATTTCTACAGTTGATAGAACGCTCTATAGTATGCAGTAAAGTTTTAAATTAATAGAAAATCATCTATCGAACGTAAAGATACGATTTTACTACCATTCGATTCGTCTTGATGAGCTGATTCCAATGAGCTATAGATCGTCTTGATTGGATCAGTAGATAGCGAGATATTCTTAAATTACTATAATTATTCAAATTTAAGAGTTTAAACTTTTTTAATATTACGTTTTTAGTGTAATATTTCGAAATTTTACACCACCTTCGAAATATTACACTAAATTACGCCTAAACAAATTTCCTGATGATGGTGTATTTGTGGTGTATTTGTGGTATTTTTGTGGTACTTTTGTGGTATATTTACAGTACTTTTGTGGTTTATTATCTCATTTTCGTGGTGTATTTGTGGTACTTTTGTGGTGTATTTGTGGTACTTTTTGTGTTATATTTGTGGTAGGTATTTTTGTGATGTATTTATGGTACTTTTTGTGGTGTATTTGTGGTACTTTTTATGATGTATTTGTGGTACTTTTTGTGATGTATTTGTGGTATTTTTTGTCTGTATTTGCTTATTTTTGTGGTGTATTTGTGGTTTATTAAATCATTTTTGTGATGTATATTTGTATTATATTTTATAAAAATTAATAAAATTTTTTATTTTTGAATTTTTCTATCACCAGGAATGATGATTACTGGTAACTGAAATTATGATGATTGACTGACATTAGAAAAATATAGTGCTGGTAAAATTGATAATTCTGGTAAGTGATAATCACACCTGCTGTTTGAAGTAAAAATATAAATTTTCCTTTGTAATTATTAATTTTTTTCATAAAAATGTAAAATTTTTAATCAAATAAAATTAATTAAAAAATTCTATTAAATTATATAATAAATTTATTAAAAAAACTACTTCAATAATAATTATTGAAAATAACTATTATTTCAAATCCTTTTACTAACAGATTAAATATTTAAGATACTATAAATCTATGATAAACAACATTTAAAGAAAAATAATTTACTAGATAATCAAATTGTAGTATAGCCCACTTTTATATATCCTTTAATGAAGTTATTATAAAGGATTTTTTAAAAGTAGTCCAGTATCTCTGGCTTAAAATGGTCTTGAAAAGTTTGGAAAACTCCCATTATGCTAGTATTCTCAAGATGTTAAAAGACTACTTTTATAATAGCTAAAGTTTCAAACAGGTTGACCAAATTCAGGTAACCTGATTAAGGTTGTCTGCCTAAACCTCTCCAAAATTCTACAATTAGTTTCTCCAAGAT